TGCAAATGTAACTTTGTAATCCTATATATTTATATGGGATTACAAAGTTATTTATGCAGTTAGTGTATCTAGAAAACTGGACCGAAATTGAAAAATATTTTAGTTTTTCCTTGATTTATACACTAAACATGAGTGAGTGACAAAATTAAGAAACTTTGACTAATTATAATTCCTAATCTACTGGTTTAAATTGAATGAAATTTGAAATATACCGTATCTATACACTGCCTGCTAGGTTTCTGAAAATCAGGCTTCTAGTTTTATCCACAACGAAGTTATAGGGGGTCGAAAATGGCCTGAATCGAGAAAAGTATGGTACGGCCGTGACTCCAGATAATTGATTTTTAACCAACATCTGAACAATTGATTACTGTGAAACAATTAAAATACTTACGTGTACTTATTTCAACACTAAAGTTCATTATTAAGAAAAGTATATTAAATAGATTATAATAAATTGATAAGATAACATAAAAATGACGCACCAAAAATTTTCCATCCACTGAACTCCATTCTAAGAAAACTTGTATAATGGGAGATCAAGATCTTTTATTTGCTATACTCACACTCTTAATATATAATAGCACACTCGCAATAATGAACCTTAGTTCATTATTAAGAAAAATATATCTAATAGATTATAATATTGATTAGATAACATAAAAATGACACACCAAAAATTTTCCATCAACTGAATTCCATTCAAAGAAAACTTGTATAATGGGAGATCAAGATCGTTTAGTTGCTATACTCACACTCTTATAGTGCGAGCGAGTGAATAAAGATATGAAATAAAGTATCTTTTGCATAGGTAGTCGCCCGCTCGGAGCGTAAAATACCTAAATTTGCGTAACGCCGAAATGTAAGTGGGCTCTTAAGACCTATCCGTTAGGAGACACTATTGCAATCATTAAGCATAGTGCTTAGGTGCTATAAGGAATATATCGTCGACAAATCGAAGGTGCAGTAGCTTGAAAACGGTTGCCCAATGTAGCGTTGGAGATCAAATTATAAAAGAAAGAACGGTGAAAAGAAATTAAAAAAAACTCTCCTAAATCTCGTTGCCTAAAACATTTTCAATATAAGATTGGCAGACTGCCATATAAAGTCATAATGACCAAACAATAGCTTTATCTATAAACAATTATTGTTGTGGCTTTTATAAAAATGTGCGTGGGTATCCTTTTATCGTAAATTTAAATGTAACACGCTCATGGATAAAAGTTTTTAAAGTTTGGAAATTGAAGTTTCATACTTCTTGCACGTTATAAAGTTATCACAGTCACGGGGTCTAAGTAATTTAGAACTATTCTATCTCGTCGGGGGTGTAGTATGAAGGGCCTAATGAAATATACCGATTTTACCATTCAAACAATGGTGGCATAATTTCTTTTATGATCATCATGATTACTATTCCATAAAAGTTCAACGTTGAACGCTCCGTGTGGAATGCCATAAAAGACGTCCTAAGCCACCTGCATCCATCGACCTCCCGGAAGCCTTACTAATTTTTCACGTCCTCTCTCGCTAGAAGAGTTCAAATATTTATCTAAATTAGTACAACACACAAAATATAACAATAAATATACACAGTAGGGTACAAGCATAGAGAAGGCAACGTTCAAATTGAATATAAAAGAAAAATTCAAAACCACGTCTTTTTCTAAAATTGCTGTTCGGCAATATCAAAGTAAGAAAAACGAAAATTTTAAAATAAAGACTGTTGTCGAGGGCCGGAAAATTAGATGGCTGTGAAATTTCAATCCAAGGAAGGCTGGCTGTTTGCCAGCTAAAAACCAATTGGTCAATGTAGCAGCGGAATTTTCCATACAGTCTAGAGATGCGGAACTACGTCTAAGGTAAAAGAACACTAAAAGTAATTTGTTTCTTCCCTGTTACATAACTTTTTGAAATTTCGAAGTGGCCTGTTACATTACTTTTCCTATTATGTTCACACGTACGTATGATTTGTCGTACTACTACTACTGTCACTTATGCAAAATTGCCAAAACGAGTTAAATATTTTTTTTTCCATTTATTGTGACACAAACAGTCATTAAAAAGAAAGTACAATATTATAACATTACATAATTAATAGACAACGAGTGCCGAAGAAATACATTAGAATAACATTTCAGTTTAGCTTGTTGAAAGATTTACCCATGTTAGTTGAAGCTGAGTAGTAAATTTATCTTTATGTAACAACAGTACAGTAAAGCTTAAAATAGGTAACTTAATTAAAGATGAAAAACATACATTTTTAAGGGACAATAATTAATACATCGTAGAGATTACCGAATGTTACGCTGTCAAGTATTCATCTGAATAACTCTTAAAGATACTTCGTTTAAGACTTTTTAAGGAGCAACTAAAGAGATCGAGATTTACAAATTCTTTATTGTATAATTTTAACGAACGGGAGATAAAGCAGTTTTGTGTATATTTTTTTCGAAGTGTAGGTGGTACGAATGTTTGAAATACACGTTGAGGGCGAGCGGGCAGACGAAAGTTACTTTTAATGTTTATTTTGGCTAATAAAGGAGAGCAGTCAATTTTATTATTTAGAATTTTATACAAGAAAATGATATCGAAATATTTACGGCGATCACTGAGACTCAACATTTTATGTTTATGAAGGGAGTTAATATACGGTTCGCCATAAAGGTCACAGCGGTAATTTAAAATCTTAATAAATGTTTTTTGGACCTTTTCAATTCTATCAATATGGTTTTTATAAAATGGACACCACACTATACAGCCGAAGTCAAGAATGGATCTTACAAATGAGAAATAAAGGATTTTAAGAGTGATAGTCTTATTGAATGGTTTAGTTATTCTATTAATGAAACCGAGGCTTCTAAAAGCTCTTTTTATAGCTAAATCTATGTGGTCATTGAAAGAAAGCTGATCGTCCATGTTGATGCCCAAGTCACGAATGTTTCTAACACGACTAAGAGCCTTCCCAAAAAGAGTATAATTATAAGTTAAGAGGTTTGATTTTCTTGAGTAATTTATTATAAAACATTTATCTGCATTGAGGTACAAGTGATTACTTTCACAATAATTACATAAGCTCTCAATATCCGATTGTAGTTTGTGGCAATCTTCAATAGAATTTATTGTCCTGAAAAGTTTGGTGTCATCTGCATACAATAGATGATGGCTGTTATGTAAGACATCACCTATGTCATTGATGTACAAGGAAAAAAGCACAGGGCCCAGATGAGAGCCTTGTGGGACCCCAGAAGGGGCCACAAGAAAGGACGAGCAGTAACCATTCAAACAGACTGCCTGACTGCGATTTCGTATATATGATTCGATCCATCTAAGCAGACTTCCATGCACTCCTAATCTCCAAAGCTTTTTTAGAAGTATGTCATGGTTAATTTTGTCAAAAGCTTTGGAGAAGTCGGTGTACACGACATCAACCTGGGTGTTATTATCCATTGCATTAAGAAGGAAGTCTGTAAACATGACCATATTGGTGTCCACACTGCGCGATTTCATAAAGCCATGTTGATTTTCATCGATATGATTACGCACAACATATGACAATTGATTAGTTACAATCTTCTCAAAAATTTTACTAAGGACACATAACTTAGAAATTGGCCGATATTGAGTAATTTGATCTTTTTGTGAGTTCTTTGGTATTGGAGTAATGAGAGCCCGTTTCCATACACTAGGAAACATTCCAGTTTTCATAGATAGTCGAAAAATATTAGATATCGGTTTTAACAACTCTTTAGCACAACGCAATATAATCACTGGGTGCACTCCATCCGGCCCGGCACCTTTATTTATATTGACATTCTCTAGTTCTTTAATAATGATGTCATCACTTAAGTAAATTGTATTTATGGATATGAGCGGATCAGTATTTAAATTATTATCTAATTTACTATTATTATAATTGGTGGACGGCCTAACAAAAACAGATTGAAAGTAATGGTTAAAAGCATCGCAAATGTCGTTACCGTCAGACAGGGTCTCACCTTTGTAAGTCATTTTTTGAGGGATGGTACCAGTCATTCTCTTCGATTTGACGTAAGACCAAAAGAATTTAGCATTAGATTCAATTTTCTGTTCAGAGAGGGTAATGAAATTTGAGTAACATTCACTTTCCATCTTGCGCAGTTTCGATCTTAGCATAGAAAATGTATTGTAGTCTGCTTCATTATGATAAGTTTTCCATTTTTTATGGTATTTGCGTTTTTCTTTATCGAGTTTAATAAGGGGACGATTGTACCACGGGGGATATCTACTTGTATCGTGTACAATGCGGGATGGTACATGTTTATCTATAAGACTATTAAGAATTTCATAAAAATATTTAACTCTATCCTCAACGTCAGGCATAGTACAAAATTTTGCGTCCCAGTCTACGGAGACTAATCCCTTTCTAATACTATCAAAATCTGACCGAAAGAACAATTTTTTGTTTATTGTGTTGGTTTTGAGGGATTTGTGTAAGTGAAGAGGAAGTTCAATACATAAAGATTTATGATGGGCATCTTCAGCTATTAAGGGACTGTCACAGGCCCGTAAACAGCAAGCAGTCGTGCAAAAAACTAAGTCAAGTAGTCTGTTATTTACGTTAAATTCATAATTAAATTGTGATAATAGGGAAAGGTTCATGAAATCGCTAGTGAGGGCTATTAATGGATCATTACTTGTTCTTATGTTCATGCTACCTATGTCGTCATCATAAAACCACTCTGCATGTGACACATTAAAGTCACCTAAAATAAGAAATAAATCGTTAGGATTTGTGTTAATTAGATCACTAGTTCTATCGTAGAATGATGCTAGTAAAGATTCGTGTCGGACGCCGTGAGGTATATAGGTACAGGCAAGGTGTAAATACGATACCGCGTTCGCAACGTCGTCAGTAGGTATAGGCCGGGTGCGCAACGGAATGCTCACCCACAGCTCGTCGGCGGGCGGCGGGGCGCACCAGCGCGTGCGCAAGCTTGGACACAGCTCGCGACTCACTGCTATTATGACGCCACCGCCACGCGTGCATTGCGTGGAAAAAGAGTCTCGATCGCATCTAAATACCTCGAAGCGCTCATCAAAAAAATTCAGAATTGAAAAATCCTTCATTTAGCCATGACTCAGTGATACATATCACATCAAAATTACAATTTAGAATGCTTTTAAGAAAGTCGTGAGATTTAGTTCGCAAGCCCCTAACGTTTTGATAATAAATTGATATTGTTTTACGAGTAGCCATTTCATAAAATTAGGTTATTTATTATAGAAAATAATAGAAAAACAATGTTACATTCGTACCACATTATTTTAATATTTTTTTTGGTGCTTATTAAGAGGGTAGATAGGTATTTCAATTCACAGTAATTATTATTTTGAATCTCCCTATATCCTGTAGTGACACCTATAGAATATTTATTTTTTGATTTAATTAGCAATTTATGGATTTTAAAGAAATTATAGTTATCAGATATTTGTTCGTTAAAAAGTAAATAATAGCACATAAATAGATATTCACAGCGCAATGATGCATGCTTATATTGACTATCGTATACAGCGTCAAGAGTTATAAAACTAAATACAGTACAACGGCTCAAATGTAATAAACACATAAATGCAAACAAAAAAATCGACACAATGTTAACAAAGTATACCTTATCAATAAGTAGTCATATTTTGTTTAAATCGTGTTCATTGGATATTTGTATTATTTTAGATGTATCCGATTTGCGCAAAAACATTTTACAATCCCGTGACCAAATATACTTATAATGGAGTTCTTTACCTAGTTTACGCGCTTTTCCAAATAAGATTTTATTATGTGGTGCCAGATGGTCATTAATAAAAACCGGTCTTGAGGCGCCGTCCAGGCCTAAGTCAGCTGTAGTCAGGCCGCGGCGCACGCGCACTGCCGCCAACATGTCGGATTTTCTTTTTCTTTGAGTAAATCGTACTATGATATTCGGGATGTCAGATGATTCTCGACCAAGTATGGTTTTCTTATTATCATCATTACGAGGATATCGCCTGACTCTGTGAATATAGTCGACATCAGAAGGTGATATTATGAATCCAACCTTAGTTGCGATGCAGTTTAGGATAGTATTGAGGTTTTCGCTTCTCTTGAACGGGATTCCGGCAATCTCCAAATTATTCAAGCGACCTTGCTGCTCTCTGTCGCCGAGCTGTGTGGATAGGGAGGTAATGACGTGGTTTTTTTCAGACAATTCTTTTTCTAGGGTACATACTCTCATATTTGTCGATTCAATTTGTTTATTCAGGGTCGTTATGTTAACTTTAATGTCATTAATTTCACAGGACATGTTTTCGGTAGTTTTATTCAGGTAAGACATATGCTGCTTCACATCACTGATATCCTCACACAACTTGCATATTTTGTCACTTTGCTGGTCAAGCAGTTCCTTTAGTGATGCCATCATACTTTCCTTAAAAGCTGCTAACGTCTCGGACATGTCACGACGATATGAAGAAAGCGAGTTACTCAGCTCCTCGCGGAAACCAGTAATTTCACACTCGGGGGATTTTTTCTTTCTGAGGGTAATGCCTTGTGAAGAGTCAAAATCCCGTAGCTTGGTGAGGTCGAGGTGCGATCCAGTAGGAGGACTGCGCTGCAAACTCATGTTTATAAGAGATTATGCTTGTACGTGGAGGTTACTCGACGTGAACAGCAGGTGGAGCGAAGGTATCAAAAGAAAGATTCACGAAGTATTCCGAGGTTAATCGATACGCTTACGATGAGGCACATTAGTAAACGTAGTAACGTGAGTAAACGCAATAAGAATGTTAGCCGTTTCTTTCGCTCACATACGGAGGAAGGGATTACACTATCAATAAGCCTATTGCACTGCACAAGATAATGAACACTGTAGCAACGTAATAAGGTAATAGTTTAAGTCACACTGTCAGTATTTCAATATCGAATCTAACCGACACAGGTCCGCTCATCAACAAGCTTCGAACACGACTGTATGCCATTTTTCTCAAAAACAACTGAACCGATTTTAATGTAGTTTTTTGCATTATACATACTAATATTATAAATGTGAAAGTAACTTCGTCTGTCTGTCTGCCTGTTATGCAATTATATGAATCGATTTTGATGAAACAGATTAGACCTTGGGGAAGGACATAGGCTACTTTTTAATTGAGACCAGCGTGATATAACCGATAACCGATTTCTACGTGAATAAAGTCGCGGACGGAAAGCTAGTATTGGTATAATTTCAAAACAGGTTCTTTATTTTTTTTTTCAATAAGATACTGTTACGCGCCTTAGTCGACGGCACTAGCGCCTAGTTGAAACTCGAACTCTCGGTACCTTGCGCGTATTTACTTAATTATTCTGGATTTTTCCGTGCTAATTTATATAAATATGCGCTGCAAGATGCGATTGAGAAAGTGTTGATTTTGGCGAGACAAGCGAAGCTTCGGAGCGGAATAAAGTGAATCAGTGTGATTAATTATTAGTGTTTTAAGTTTTAATTTGTGTAAATAAAATTAAAGTGTTAATTTAGGTAATTTTATCGGCAATTTTTATTGTCACGAACCTCAAGCTCGTAACAGAAGTGGGATAAAATCAGGCCGATTTTACCTAAGGAGGAAACGGAGGGTGTCCGTACCCGAAGTCAACGCCAGCAGGAGACGGACCAAAGAAGATTTGGTGGTGCAACGCCGCAGACGTCGGAGGGCCAGCCACCGGCTGCAGGCCCGTCAGTAGCCCCTACATCTGCAGCACCTGACTTAGGTGCTCTGATGGTGATGCTGCAGGAGCAGCCTCGCCGACAGGAGGAGCAGGCTCGCCGACAGGAGGAACAGGCACGCCGATTGGAAGAGCAGCTGCGGGGCGGACAGGAGGAACAGGCCCGTTGGTTGAAAGAGCGACAGGAGGAACAGGCTCACCAGCAGGAGGAACAGGCTCGCCGACAGGAGGAACAAGCTCGCCAGCATACGGAACAGGCACGCCGATTGGAAGAGCAGCTGTGGGGCGGACAGGAGGAACAGGCCCGTCGGTTGGAAGAGCAGATGCTCCTCATAAAGGACCTTCACGCTACCTTCGGGAAGGAGATAAAGGAGGTGAAGGATAGGGTTGCTCAGCATGACAGTCGCCTGTCGGAAGCTGAAACCCAAATCGCGAAAGCTGAAAACCGAATCAAAAAAGCTGAAACCCGAATCGACCAAGTGAACAATCGGGTTGACAACGTAATGGCTGACATGAAGAAATCACTGGACGAACTCAAACTTGGAGATGGAGCTACAGCTCCCGTAGTAGCTACAACACCTTCGCTACGTGGGTTCAAGATGCCACCGTTCGACGGTACCTCTTCCTGGTCAGCCTACAAAATCCAGTTCGAGGCTGTTATGAAGGCGAACGGCTGGAATAAAAGTCAGGTCATGACTGCTCTCACACTAGGCCTGCGCGACCAGGCCTTAACAGTTCTGGAAGCTCTCGGTGAGGAAGTGACTTATGAGCAACTCCTTGAGGCATTGGAGGCGAGATATGGCGACGCTCACCTGGAACACGTCTTTCGTGCGCAGCTTAAAGATTGCGTACAGCGCATCAACGAAAACCTGCAGCAGTGGGCTCTAGAGGTGGAGAAGCTGGTGCGAAAAGCATACCGGTCTGTACCTGCGCTCATTGAGGGGAACCTGGTGCAGACATTCATCGACGGCATCCGCGACTTGGAAGTCAGAGCTGCTGTGAGGTTCGGGCACCACAAGACGCTTAAGGACGCCTTGGCCCATGCACTGGAGGTAGAAGCCGTGCAGCAGGATCATCGTTCCCATCGCGTCAGGGAGGTTGCAGCAGCTACAGTTCGCGACCGCAACAAAGGATACAGCCCTAGGTGCTATGGCTGTAGGGAAAAGGGCCATCTTCGATCCAGCTGCCCTAAGCGAACCGTGGAAAGGAGAGTTGATCGATCTCGAGAGGGTAGTGCAGCTAACGGAACCACCTGGCGGTGGCAGGATCGTCGTTCCCCCTAGCGCTAGGGGAGGTTGCCGCAGTTACGGTTCGCGACCACAATAAAGGATACAGCCCTAGGTGCTATGGTTGTGGGGAAAGGGGCCATCTTCAATCCAGCTGCCCTAAGCGAACCCTAGAAAGGGAAGGTGAACGATCTCAGAAGGGAAGTGCGGCTAACATCACCGCCCAGCAGCAGCAGGAATACGACTTTACTATCAGACACTGCAGCGGGAAATCTCACGGCAACGCAGATGCATTGTCAAGAAGACCTTGTCTTGAAGATTGCAACCATTCTAGTAGGCAAGAGAGTAAGGAAGTGATATCCGTGAGGATGCTCAGGACAGACTACCTCAGTAACGAGTGGAAGGACAGCTTACAACGTGCACAGCAGGAAGATCCGGACATCAAGCCGAGCCTGGAATGGATGAAGGCCAGTGCTCCCAAGCCCAAGTGGAGCGACGTCTCAGCGATGAGTTCGACCACTAAAAGCTATTGGGCCCAGTGGGACAGCTTGCTGCTTCAGGATGGAGTTATGTGCCGTAAATGGGAAAATATTCGGGGAGACAGCTGTCATTTACAAATAGTTGTCCCTAAAGCTAAAGTACCGGATGTTCTACAGCTGTACCATAATGATTATTCAGGAGGCCATCTGGGAGTTATACGAACTCTACTGAAGGTCCGAGAACGGTTTTACTGGGTCCACTGTCGAAACGATGTCGAGGACTAGTGTCGCAAATGTACAAGTTGTGCGGCTGTAAAGGGACCTCAGACTCGTAGTAGAGGTGCATTGAAGTTGTACAATGTTGGTGCACCATGGGAGAGAATAGCCATTGACGTGGCGGGGCCGTTTCTGGAGAGCGAAAGCGGTAACAAGTATTTCATGGTTGTGATGGATTACTTCACTAAGTGGCCAGAAGTCTTCGCCATTCCAAATCAAGAAGCTTCAACAGTTGCAGATAAACTAGTTCATGAAGTATTCTGTCGTTTTGGAGTACCTTTAGAGATTCACAGCGATCAAGGAAGGAATTTTGAGTCTCAAATATTCCAGGAAACTTGCCAAGTTATGGGTACTCATAAAACAAGAACGACTTCTTATCACCCGCAATCTGATGGAATGGTAGAACGATTTAATCAGACATTGGAGAGGTACCTAGCAAAAGTTGTAGACAATCGGCAACGAGATTGGGACAAGCACATACAACCATTTTTGTTGTCGTATCGAAGCGCTGTTCACGAAAGTACAGCAGTGACACCAGCTTTCGCAAACTTTGGAAGAGAATTACGGCTGCCTGCAGACCTGATCACCGGGATACCACCTGATGCTCCACGCAGTATAACCGATTATGCAAATGACTTGCGGAACAAAATGAATGACGTTTATGAGCACGTCAGACAATCGGGCCAGCAAATGTCTGAAAAGATGAAAACCCGGTACGACCGCAAAATGAACAACAAAGGGTTCGACGAAGGTTCACTAGTGTGGTTGCATAATCCCGTCCGCAGCAAAGGGAAATCTCCTAAGCTTCAAGCTAAATGGGATGGCCCGTACCGGATTGTGACCAGGATCAACGATGTAACCTACCGGATACAGAAAGGCGCAAGAGGAACTCCTAAGATCGTCCATGTGGTTCGCCTGACGCGTTATTATGGGGCCTTAATGCTCGGAACGAGCATGTCTTAGGAGGGGGCAGTGTTACGCGCCTTAGTCGACGGCACTAGCGCCTAGTTGAAACTCGAACTCTCGGTACCTTGCGCGTATTTACTTGAATATTCTGGATATTTCCGTGCTAATTTATATAAATATACACTGCAAGATGCGATCGAGGAAGTGTTGATTTTGGCGAGACAAGCGAAGCTTCGGAGCGGAATAAAGTGAACCAGTGTGATTAATTATTAGTGTTTTAAGTTTTAATTTGTGTAAAGAAAATTAAAGTGTTAATTTAGGTAATTTTATCGGCAATTTTTATTGTCACGAACCTCAAGCTCGTAACAATACAATAAAAATCCTAATAATTCAATAAAATACCTAATCCATATCTTACTATCAAATATTTTATACATTTCGGTTTTTCTCGGATCAAATAAAATGATGTTTCGTGGGAAAAAACTGGTATTTTTGGCATGTTCCACAACACCACATAGTAAGAGCTGAACCGGCGAATCTTCAGTAACACCTAATATCGATAAAAAAGTAGTAAGTAAGTAAAAGTAGTAACTCTGTTTTATCAACTCCATACTCTCCATCCATTTTTATTACTGCTATTATTGATGACAAAAATTCACCAGCAAACCAGCAATACGGATCTCCAACTGGCGACTTTTCTGTTACTGGATTCAAAGCACAAAGATCGTGTGCACCTGTGACTTACAAGTCTTCTTACCATGCATTGGAAATTCGTCTGCTCTTTTATAAGTTTAGGCTAAATAGCTACAATTTTACGATTTCAAATGCAAGACCCAGAAACTACTAGCTATTTTTGGCATGTAAGCTTGGGCAAGAAATGCTCTATTGAAATAGGATCTTGTGTGTATTCATATTTAGTAGAAACTGCTAATAAATATTGTTACGATCTTAGGGTTCGTGACAATAAAAACTACCGATTAAATTACCAAAATTAACACTTTAATTACCGAACACCAAATAAAACTTAAAAGACA